GCTATGAAAGACCAGGGGGTTAGGCATCTCTCTTGATGTTTAAGAATGTTATTTAATTTCCCTCCAACAGACTCAGGGGAAGAGTCCTGTAGAAGCTTGAGAAGGAAAACTGAATTTCAGTGTGGATGAAACTAGTTCATCTCAGTGTCTCATTTCTTTGTTGTCTTTGTTTCTTTCTAATCAATGTCATGGCCAGTATTGGCAGTGTAGCCTTATCAGTTTCTATATAGCATTGGAGGTGCTCAAGCCACCTTATCATCCTCATGGCTCTCCTCTGGACTTGTTCCAACAGTTCCATGCCCTTCTTATGTTGAGGACACCAGAACTGCACACAATACTCCAAGTGAAGTCTCACGAGAGCAGAGTAGAGGGGCAGGATCACCTCCTTGGACCTGCTGGCAGCCCAGTGTGAAAGCTGCGGAGCCACGTGGCTGTGGTAGCAGGCACGGGATCCAATTCCAGGCAAGTGAAAGGCAAAGTTGGACAGGGAAAAAACTACCTTCTTAACCCCCCTTCATGAAATACATTCCAGTTTGCACAGAAAAGTCCTTTTGTTGCTCTTCTGCCATGACCTCTGTCTGTCCACCCAGAGACTGAAAGTGCCAAGTCTTCCTGAAAGCCTAGAAAGTGCCTATAACAACATTGTGGGTACTACCACAAACAAACATTAGTAAAGACAAAGTCCTGTAAGATGTTAAAAGGAATGTGAAGGCAAATAGTCTTGCAAAATGCAAGAGATCAGACTCAGTTATTCAAAGAGTTTTTCCTGGACCTCGTTGTTTATCATTCCATGATAAGGGATATATTTATCTTTTAAATTCTTACTAGTCAAACAGAAGAGCTTTGCTTTTCCAGAGGAATGATTTCCCTCCATCCCACTGTGAACGCTGCTGCCTCCTCCTGCCCTCCCTTCTTCCCGATACACACAGCTCCTGGTGCGTGGCAACAGCAGTGGAACATGTCAAGTACATTTTTTCTCCTTAAAGCACGTGTAGCTGGGAGGTCACAATCCTTACAAAGTCAAAGTTTTGTGTGTTTGAGAGCTTTGCCCTACTACCATGTAATTGAAATCAAGCTTTTAAAAGCTCATGGCAATGTGTTTGTTCTTTAACCTCACCCAGCAAAAAGAGAGGGCCTTGCTGAGAGAACCCATTGTTAAGCTCCTGCACTTAACTGATAAGGCACTGATACAACCAGTAGCAAAGAAAGAAACTAATAATGAAAAAGAAAAAAGATTCACATGCCTTCCTTCCCCAGTACATTAATGCCCTGCCCAGATTAATTTCCCCAGTTCTTAACAAATGAGGGTCAGCATCTTTAATCATATTAAAATATTGTTATGAGACTTATTTAATAACAGTCAGAGGTAATGAGTTTTCATGTCAGAAAATGGAGGGTTTCATGCCATTTCAAGGTCTGCTCATTATCCATTCTTACATTTTAATGATAGATGTGTCTGTTACTGAAAAAGGTAGAGGATTTATTTGGGATTGTTGTGAGAATAAATGACTGAAACAATACTTAAAACATCTTACATCATCTCTCATGCATATGGGACACTTAACGCTGTTATGTGAAAACCCCTGAGCACATAGGGATGCAATACAAAAATTTAAAAGAGACTGAGGTGCTGTTTCTCTGATTTCAAGGAGATGACATACAGCTTGTGAGAGTGTTTACAGCGATCAAACCAATTGCATCCTTTCCCATCCATTAACTAGGAGCTCATGGGTGAACTTTGCAAGCATTTGGATTCCATTTTTTTTTTTTTTTAATTCATGTCAAAGACTGTTCACAAAAGCATTTGTTTCTTCAGTAGAAGGTTTGCAGAAGTATGACCCGACTTTACCAAGTCACACCTCTGGCATAGAATCATAGAATCGTTAGGGTTGGAAGGGACCTTAAGATCATCTAGTTCCAACCCCCCTGCCATGGGCAGGGACACCTCACACTAAACCAGGTCACCCAAAGCCTCATCCAACCTGGTCTTGAACACTGCCAGGGATGGAGCATTCACAACCTCCCTGGGCAACCTATTCCAATGCCAAATGCCACACAGTTTGCAAACCCAGAGATTTCCACTGGCATGAATATACCTTGCAAGGATCCAACCATTCCCAGCTACCTAGCTTGCTGATCCACAAGTTTTAGTTTCCTTACATCATGGTGTCTCTGTGAAAAAAGAACAGGATTTCAGTACATAGTTTCTACTGGCCTCCCAGCCTTTGATAACATGAAATGATCGCTGAGATCCAGCAGTGGAAATCCTAGAATGATGGTATCATTAAAGACAACAAGTTTCCAAGGACACTAATTGAATTCAACATTCAAACATTTTTAAATGGAAAATTGCTGGTAGCCAAAAGGTTTTTCCTGGGAAAGCACCCAATAGAACTTAGAGCTGACTTCATCAAAGGAGATTCTCAACTGTAAAAAATGATAACACCCTAATGGCAAGAAATGCTTCAAAATCAAATAAGCCTTGGAACAGTAGTAAGTGGAGTTTGTTGTAATACAGCAAATATCCATGTGCTGCATCTGCAAAGAAACACTATAAGATAGTCTTTGAAAGGGGAAACTTCCACATCAGCGTAAAGTCCTTAAAAAAAAGTAGTGAGCACTAAGGACCAAAATGTTTTTATTGAATGGAAAGCCAAGCCACTTTAATAACAACAAAAGTCTGTCCAAAAATATATTCCTCTTAGCATAGGTAATTAATAAAAAGGAAAGAGAAAGTCTAAAAACAACACCATTCCCAGTAGCTTGACTCATCTTTACAACTGAAAGCTGCACATGTCCTTATTTAATGACTAGTCATATTATTGAAATGTTATATTTTTCCTTCTCGACCAGTGGGTAAGGAAGCACCCTCAGAAATGGATCTCTTAACTCAGGAACCCAAGTTGGAATTATGCTGACTTATACAATCAGAGAGCGATGTAGGGAGGCCTTTTTAATTCATTACTTTATTTGCTGCTTTATCATGGCAGCAGTGTAAACACAGCACAAAATGGTCTGGTTCCCACAAGGCTGCCATCTACCTCCACATCTCAGAAGACAGGTGGATGCAATGAGCAGCAGTGCAGTTTTGAGCAGCCTGTTAGGCAGCAATCACTTCACACCACCTAAGTGTTATGAGGGATTTCAGTTGCATCATGGCCTAATGGTAAATAATTCAGCAGAAACCAAAATTCACATACAAACACAGACATAGCCAGAAACATAAAATAAAACAGATCAGAGGAGAGATCCATGTCTAGGTTTGAAAGGTCATCTGTAAAACCCTATTTATAGGCATTTCTGGCCAGCTGAAGCTCTGACCCTGGAGGTAAAAGCTCTCTGAAATGTCCTCATGTGGGCAGAGCAAACAGAGCCATTCTAACACGTGAGGAAAGGTTAGGCCCAGGGATGAGTATGAGTGAAAAATATTTGGCTAGACTCCTGGTACAAACTCCCACACAATGCTTTGAAAATCTACCCCTCTGTGTCCTTAGCATTGGTTTTCAAAGTACAGCAGCCTAGAGACAGATGTGCCATTATTGTTTATGGTTCAAAGGCAGAGAACTCGTTTGGTGGGGAAATAAAATCCATACTAATAGAGCAAGTACCAAAAAATGTTCTAAGAGGGAATAAGCATGTTCTAAGGTGTTTTAACAATCTTCTGGCTCCTAGCCCAGAACTCAGTTGGAACAATTGTATTCATCTCCAGGCCACCATTCTTTGAACTTATGGAAACCTATGGTTATATTTAGCTAGTTTAAAGATATATATGGCCAGCGCACTGTAACCCTTTTGTCAATGACTTGCCATTACAACTCTTAATTTTATTGCTTTTTAACCACAGTTGCTTAATTCATGGGTTCAGCTAAGAGGATGGAAGGCAGTAGATGGATGCTGTGACAATGGCAATCCTGGCTGCTGTTAAGGCATTCATCATTTTAAGAAGAAAAGCCAGCTTGCACCACTTTCCTCAATGGCTCATCTCAAAGTTACACATGCTCTGGACCAGCCCAGTCATGAATCTGTGATAACCAGCCCATTTATAGTCCCATATTAATTTGAGACTATTAATAGATCTGCTGTTAATAAGACAATTGGCAGGCAGAAAATGCCCTTAGATATGCAGTGTACACAAGGCATTGATGCTGACAGATTTTAGAGTGTAAGCATGAAATTTAGCAGTCTAATACTGTACAGGTGCTCATTTATATGGGGAAATATAAAAAAAAATCACTAAAGAAACATGAATAAAAAAAGAACTTGTACAGCAAGCCCGTGCCTAAAATTTTTCAGTTATCATGAGCTTCATGTTCTTTTGGTTACACAGGGGTTAATCAGGAGCAGATGAAATCTTAACGAAGAGAGAATAAAGCAGAGTAATTTCAGAATATTCATAGAGCTGGCATTCTCTGCCTGTATGATTATAAAGATCAGCTCTGCAGATAATGTGCCAAAAGGTCAAGCAATTAAAACCACTGAAGCTCCAGCCTACTAATAGGTCTGGTAAAAGAAAAGTTCAAGTGAGAAGCTGCAGAAGTATCATAGCTGCTCATCTGGGCAGACGAGGTTTCCAGCAAGCCCAAAATAGCGTTACAGATAGTAACGCTAATCTCTTAATGGTAATAGTGAGAACTTGGAGGATAAGGGACAACTTTTCTCACTTCAGCCTTCCAGTTCTCAGTGCCAGCCCTGAACAGGTAATTTCATCCAGACCACCGGTGTTTTGTAGCTACCAACCAGGACTGGGTGGCATCACAAGGGATGAAATGAAGATTTGAGGTTGAACATGCCACAGGATTGACTGGCCTTTTGTGTGTAGCCTTTAGGCTTGTATTGTGGCATTTTATTGCTATAAAATTTATTTTACAAGTCCAAAGAAAGTGAAAGGAACCAGAGGAGAAAGATTTTAGTTAGGGTGCATCACACATGTGGAGCAAAGCAGCTGAGACTGGAGGGCTGAGGTTGTTTCAAGCAGATATAATTGGAGGCAGCTGTGACAAGATACTTCTTTCCTTCCTCTGTCACCTCCTTCCTGCTGAGGGCTCCTATACTGCCAGGATCGGTGTCCATGCAGGTAAGTGAGGAGACAGATAAGTTCCCTAAAATCAATTGGGGAAGCAGGGTAATTTTCAACCCTTACTGGGGTTTGCAAGAGTATGGGCTCAATGGATGCAGCAGGAACTCATATTTGAAGGAAGGATAAGATGAAATTGCACCTTTCAGCAGCAGCCCACACAGCCGTGCTTAAAGCAGTCATGAAATCACAGCTTGCTCTTCATTAGATCTATAGATCCCTAGGAGGAGGAGTATGGCATAAAGGGAACATGTGCTGTAATTCTTTCTGGTGTTTTACTGCTGTTGGTCAATGAGGACAAGCAATCTTGCAGTTACCATAGATTACCTGCTTGAGAGTTGAGCCCATCAAAGCATTCAGAGAAATGGTTATAAACAGGAGTTGAAGGCAATCCTTCAATTCAGTGCCTAAGTAACAAAGCAGTTAGACATATGTCTGCTGTGAAGACTGTGTCTGAGTGCCAGCACCATGTTAAACTTCACATTCCCTGTTTCACTCAAAACCAAGAGGTTCACTAGCTGTGGGTTCAAGCAACTGCAACCACAGCTGTCTACAAGGGCTCCTGAACTGCAGCTTCCTTGAGGAAGCTTGGAGGCATCTAGATTTCATTTTCTTTTGTAGAAACCTAGGAAGATGTGCAAACCACCTCTGCAATAAAATCGAGTGAGACCGTATATCAAAGAATACAGTAACATATAAACGTTTTGAAAGCATATCAATATGTTTACTGCTTTCTATTTTCATATCTTTAATAAGCTAACCCAAAGCATTCCTAAAACTGCTTGCTTATATTTTTGAGAACGTATTAAGTGCTCGCTAGCAGTTGTCTGCTGCTCTTTCTAATGCCTTTCAACATAAGGTATTAACAGCTAGGATAGGGATTTCACATGGAACAACCTTGAGATGTAACCCCATGTGCAATCCATAGTTCGGACTGTGCTCATTAGAAAGGCAAACTAAGGTGCAGGGAAAAGTAGACAGTGAGGGCGTTGCATGTATTATTTCAGTTCCGTGATACCCCTTGACTGTTGTGAATGCTTACTCATCATTATATTCCAAAACTCACGAGTGTTAATTAGTCTTCTCTGATGAAGCACAGCATATGCCAACTGTATCCGCCTCTCCACATCTATCACTGGTAGGCAGCTGAGACCTGTCCTTTGAACCTTAAATGTTTTTTCTCTAATTCTCCTTTTACCCCTATTTCTGTCTCACTTCTTCAGTTCCAGCTCATCTTCCTGACCTTCGACCTTCTTTCTCAATGCTGACACAAGGACCATGCATTGTATAACAGCCAACACCATGTTACAACGTGGTCCTACTCAGCTTTTTTTATGGTACCATTAAAGAAGGTGCCCCAGCAAGAGTTAAAAAAAGTAGTATTTTCTGTCTGTCTGCGTATATATATTCATGTATCAGGCTAGGAAAGCATATTTTAGTCCTTGTCTTACCCCCAAAGCCTGTATTCTTTTCATGAGCTGTCAGAAGCCCGAAATCCTGTTGGAAGAGAGCCAGAACCTCCACCTTCAGAGACACAGGATGAAAATATGCCTTTCCCAGAGAACTTTCATTTTCTGGTGTATTCTTTATAATCTTTCCATAAGAATGTACCACATAATCCAGTCAGGAGCAGTGTTTCCCTTCTCACAGCAAACGAGTAATTCAGTTCCTGCCTCCTCTTCTTACCTCTGCATGATGTATGCAGTAGCCAGATTTCTCCCCCACCAAATGTCCCAGTGTATTAAATAGGATATAAAGAGCTGTGCACTTCAGTGAAAACTGAGAATATTCCTACAGGTTTTTGTCTTGTATTTAATTAAGAGAACAACTGCCACAGAGATATATTCTCCAATATCAGTCAGAGCAAATCTAGCTATCTGACAACAGACAGCTAATGGGGAGCTGTGACAGAATAGGTATTCAAAGGAGATAGGATTTGGAGTAATCACATCAACATCTTGCGGTGAGCAAGACACCTTTGGTCTCACCTGGATTATGCGCATAGCCTATGAAAGTAGAAACTGCTTCATGATTTTATAGCCTAAAACCAATTTTAAAAATACATAACAAAGGACTGTAACAACTCTATCCAAGTTAAACCAATGAAATCTGCTGCTACTGCACACCTCTGAGCCCTAGGGAAAGCACCTCAAGAACCTGGGATTTGAGTCCGAGACAATTAAAAAGAAGTTTATTCATCACAAGTCTGGAAGCAGAGGGTGGGATTCAGCTGCCTAAACATACATGTCTAATGCCATTTTTGATGCCTTAGGGTATAGCATCTGGCCCCCAGCTGCCGCTCCAGAAGGGAGTAGATCTTTCATTGATCATGTCTCATATCTGCCAGTCCTGTGTGAATGCCTCAGGTGGCCTGAGGCATTGAAAATGATGCTACATGCTTATGTTTTGGCACTTGAATTGCTCCCATACTGTCTATAAGTAATTTCCGGTTCTCTTTATTTAGGGTTTAGCTTTTTCTATTGTTGTTGTTTTCCCCAGTCTTCATTAAATCATGAAGATTAATTGTCTCCCTCAGAACCCCTTCCTACATGCCGCAGCCCAGGAGAAGCTGAGTTCTTCATGTTCTCATGGACTTTGGTGGAGCTGAAGCAACTCGACGCATCTCTGAAGCCTTCTCCCTGCCCCTGGAGAGATGCGGAGGAATAATTCCAGCATGAATCACACATGGGCCGCACAGAATCACACAGCTTTCAGTGCCATAGAGCTTTTTCAAAGGACAACATTTTATTTCTATCTGTGCTATCTGCAGTTTGGCCATCTGCTGCTGGCAGGTCAGGCTTCTGGTTGTAAAATATATCCCTTCCTCACCTTCGTTATCAGAACCTCACCTTTTTGAAAGTAAAGTGATAATGATTAACCCTCTGTAGGCATTTGAGCCATCATCTCTTTCTCCAGGAAAACTTACTTTTAGTTACAGATATACATGCAGGTGACATTGGCTGATGTTGTAACATGGGCACAGGGATTTCCCTTCTGTTCCCAAAAGGTTAAGTTACACCTTTTGCTACAGACAATTCAGGTAAGCTGTCATCATGCGGGACTGTAAAGGGGTGGTGTGAGGAAGATCTTCACCATTTCATTCAATCTATTTATGTAGAGGGAATTGTTTTCCAACAGGGACTTTATTACATCAGAATAAGATATGATGTCTTTGAAGCAGACACGAGAATGGTGAAGATACTTATTGACCCAGAGTAACTTTTCATAGACTATCTCCACTACAAATAGCTACAGAACAGTGAAAGCTTACTCTGACCTGCTAGTTAATCACAAAAAACCCCACATCAGGTTCTGCTACAAATAGCACATGTTCAAAAGCAAACCCTAACATATCAGTGAGTTAACCTCCGTAAGCTACTTCAGTTTGACCGCATGAGGAAAGCTTCATAACAGCACCTACAAGTGCCAGCGAAGGATCCTGATGCATTGATTTGCCAAGACTGAAACAGAGCAGTGATCACAAGTGCTTATTTTGCCTTTTTGTAGTTCATCAGTGTCATGCAACTGTTGGCATAGTCAGCAAATGTGTCAGGTCTTGGAATAACATCTACTTGTGTAGCTTAGGTACACTGCCAAAAGGTAAGTGTTTTTAAAGAGTAAAATCATAAAGTATTATGGACATAAAGCCTGTGATAGTAAAGGTGACTCCTTAGCATTATATGCCATAGCAGCACATTTTACCAAGGGCAGGAAAAGTAAGCTTTATTTTCACCACAGTCTTAAATACTGCAGTTTTCTTTTGGATTTAGATGGGTGCTTTTCCAAGCTATAATTTTTGCTCTATTAGTCTCTGTTAAACATAGGGTTCCCGGTAAACAGTTGTGAGTTGCTCTCACATGGCACAGACCTATGACAAACTTATGCAATAATCCATGACTGTGCTCTGGGCAGCACTATGTGCATGTTGGTATAGAAGCATGAGGTTAGGGACAGTTCAGAAAACAGGTGGTAAGCCTGGAAAAAAACAAGCAGAAGGCTTACAATGTGGTCAAAGGCCAAGAGCACATGACTTAGAGGGACAGGCTAAAGAAGCGGGTTTACTTAGTCTGGCAAAGAGGATAAGGGGCAATACAATAGCTGTCAACATCTACTTGACAAAGAGTTACAAAAAATGACAGAGCCGGACTCCTCTCAATGGTGCTAGACAGTATAACAAGGAGCAACAGCCACAGAGTGCAGCTTGGCATGTTCAGGTCGGACATCAGAAAAAAAGTGCACTTGAAGGGAGGTGCAGCATTGGAAGAGGTGCCCAGAGAGGTTGTTGAAACTGTGACCTTGGTGGTTTTTAAGACTCTATTAAAATCATGGTGGAACTCATCTCCAGCTGGCAACAGTCCCACTTCTCATGGGAGCTGAATGAGACACCCCAGAGTTTCCTTCCAAGCACCGTTTCTGTTTCCTGTTTCAGTTCTTCACCTTTAGGACTCTGTAGGGACTTACACCTTAGCAGAATAATTCACACTGCTTTTTTTCACAGCCTGTGTGAGTCTCTCAGGCCTCAAGATTTAGAGTAAGAAGGCCAGGGCTACTTCTTCCTCTAGGTGTGATGTGTGTTCTGTGAATCTCCATGAAGTGCCTATGTTCAGAGGACGTCTTCCAGGGTTGAGCTTTGCTGTGAGGGCGGACTATGCTCATGTATAAATAATCTGACTTGCTGGATGCCATTATTAGGACCAGAATGGTTCTGATGTGCTCAGAAGCAAAAATTTAGATGGCTGCTGCTTTCAATCACTTGCATCTTTAGGTAGTAGCAGTGCAATGTTATTGGACTTGGGCTACTGATGATCTTGTTCAGCTATGTGTGATTTAGCAAATAATTTAATATGAACTCTTAGGAATGAATCAGTATATGATAGCAGTTACACCTGAGTCTCTCTGTCTATACATACACGTGGTCTGAGAGTTTTGCCTTGAAGAAGGTGTAGCCTGATCTCTGATCTGAACTCCACCACACAGTCTGAAGTATCAGCCATTGGTTTGGACCTTTATGTCATCACTGGGGGTTGGTGCCTTTTGGAGGCATATATCGGTGCTTCCATTTTCATCTTTGAAGGGAATCTAGGTGGCATGCAACAAAACCATACTTTCAACTCCAAGAGTGATAAGTTCATTACAGCAATAAGAGCATTTGTCTCAAATCTGCACCAGATTTTACTTCCAAAGCAACACAGATAAAACACAGTTCTTCCCCAGCATAATTCATCCTCCTAGTCATTCTGGGTCATGGTCTCCTTGAAAATGTGACTGTATCAATGTTGTCATACATAGTCATCAGAAAATCTATTCTTTATGAATTTATTCAATTCTCTCATGATTTATACTTTTGGTTACCACAGTTTCAGTGTCAAGGTGTACCAAGGTATACAAATTTTAATCATGCTTCCTAACAAAAATGAAAATCTAACTTCTTTTTGTATGTCCTAAGCTTCATAGTTTCACTGCATACCCCTTAATTCTTGCATTATGAGAAACTGTGAAGTAGTCAGAGAGGAGTGCTGTAATGACTGCACTGAAGTGCTCAAGATGAGTAATTTTGAGTAATCTGTCCTTTGATTACATGATATTAAAGCAGAAGGAAAACCAGACTCTGCAAATAATTTATATCAATTTGCTGGTAGCTTTGATTTTCTGCAGAAAATATTCTACAACTAGATTCAGGCTGACAATGAAATTTCTCTTTGTGAGAAGCAGCATGAGCTAACAAAGCGTATCTATGTAACATATGCACAGCAGTTGCTTAACTGTTTCAGAGTGCTACCTTGATGTTATAAGATAAAAGAGAGCAGAATGATGAAAAGAGGAATGATGAGGATGTCAGTGCATCGCAAACAAATCTCTAGAATGGCTTCATTTAATTTCAGAGTTGACACTGGTAAATCACACTGTAAAATCCTCTGGTGTCCTTTATTATGCAGCTTCGTAAATACCACAGATTTCACTGTATTTCATCCCATACCTGTAAGATGTATGTGTACAAGCTACTGCTCTTTGTGTTTTTCTTCTTCATAAAAAGCAATACAAGTTTTAGAGCATCCCTTTAACTTCCACACCAAAATCTGATCCAAGAGAAGCATGACACTCTTTTAGCAATATTAATAAGTGCCAAGGGTCATGGTGAAACCTCTCTCCTGAGGTATCACTCTCTTTTTTGCAATTTGTTTTGAGCATAAGCTGAAAGCAAAGTGCATCCACACGACAGTTAAAGGTTAGAATGATTCATGCCTGCTCTTTAACAATAAATTACCTATGGATTTCTGAAGACCCCAATTCAATTCTCATTATAATCTCACAATAAGCACTGCCATCTATGTCCTTCAACGTTTGACATAAATGATTTGAGGCAGTATGTGTTTCATCTTCGTTGATACAAGAAATTACAAGTGGCTTAATGGTTAGTGACAGAAGTTGACATATCAAAGGATTCAGGGAAACATAAACAAAAAATAAATCACCATCCCACAGCCCCTCCCCAATGTTAAATTCCTCATTTTACAAAGACCATATAATCCTTTCATTTTCAAACAAATACCACTGTATCACTGTTATTCTAGCATAAGCTAGCATAAAGCTTACAATAAGGACATGTTTAATGTGCTTTTTAATAGCCCTGTTTGAAGGACTTCTTACTGACATCATATCGCTTGGGCGATCCAAAAGGGATTACATGTGTCAGCCCAATCAATTGGTGGTAATTGTAACACAAAAGACCTATCTGAGAGCTCACACAGACACTGTAAACTGTGCTTCTATATTCACCTATCTTGTTTTAAGAAATAAATAAATAAATCAGCTATTAAATTAATTAGCAGTAAAAGCATGTAATAGTTATCTAATCTATTAATTTTTAGTTTAATATTAACTAGGGTGTCTCCTATGACAAGTATTTGACCTGTAGAGAAAGAATGGAGTAAGATCACCCGTGCAGCCTTTCAAGTTAACAAAATAGTTGCTTGAAGGAAAAAGGTGAAGGCATTCTTTAGCCTCTGCCTCGTACTCTAAGATTTTATTTGTTTTCATACAAGTATTGACTTTATGTGGGGCCAGCCCAGTTGTGCCTGACGCAGCATGTTTCTCTGCAAACTTCAGACCTTTCAGCTCAGCCTGGGGAATAGCAGAGGCCACATTGCCACTTTGCAGAGCATAGAGGGTGCATTCAAACTCTTGTCAACTGTTCAGTGGCAACTGACAAAGAGGCGACCATCCTGCTTGTCAACAAGGTCTGTGTGCCTTTGGCTTGAAGCGTGGACTCAGGAGCCCTCATTGCCTCCAGGATGTCAGTCCATGTGCAGGGGCCAAGGAAACAACCTAGGCATCAGCGTCCTTTCCCCATCTCCATCACTGCTCTTTTCTACTATAACCCCAGGGTTCAGGATAGGAAATCACTAGCCTGCCCACAGGGCCTGACCGTCAAAGGTGCTCAGATCTCACACATTGTTGCTGTAGGTACGTTAAGTTCTTCTAGCATCAGCTCACTATGGCTTAACTGTTTCCAGCTCAGTCTGTGGCACACCCATCACACAGGTCAGAGTCAGCTCTCAATACCATCACAGTTATTCTGATTTATATTGGTGTCACTGAGGTCAGGTTCAGTCCCACTAATTCTGAGCAATGCAAGATTAGACCTGACACAAGTCCAAAAACCCTTTAGCAGTCAATTAGTTCTAATTATGACAAAATTATTTGCTGCCTTCTACTCCCTTCAAGGAGAGGTTTGGGGAAAGCATTAGAAAAAGAAAGATAAATATCCAGAACACAAATCATGGTTTCACCCTTTTGAAAAACAGCATTTAGGAGGCTGACATGATTTATTGATCTCAGTAAAAACAGTGTTTCTGGCTGGAGTGCTACAGCTACAGGGGAGCGGCTGCCACAAGCAGTGCATGCACCTGCAGTGTTATCCGGCATGTCCTCTTCACCACTGTGATAACACACCCTGGGCACTTCCAGCCTTGCCATAAAGTTGGCAGAGCTGCAGGTTAAATGCAGTAACACATAAGTGAAGGGTTTCAAAGAGATAAATGCATTCTCTAAGAATACTCAATCACCAACTGATCTCTCCTATTTCAAATAGTTTTAAAATAAGAACATGTTTTATTTATATGCAGCCTACCTGCCAAGGCTTTCTAAATACCTCACAAAGCAAACAAAAAGCATTAAAAAGAACCAAAATGATGGCACAGGGCAAAACTTTCCAAAGTGCCAACACTGCCCCAGCAATAAAACTAACACCCATTCTTGCTCTGCCATTCTAGGGCAGAGAAAGTCAACAAAGAGGGTTAGAAGTTATATCCTCTTTAGAGGCTAAGTTAAATGACCCTTTAAAAAACTATGCTTTTCTATTTGTGCAAAAATATATGCTCCTGTGTTTTGACATTGACTAGGACTGAACAGTTGCTTGTGGTGAGTGCAACAGCTGACCATCTCTTTCACCAGCGATGCACAAGCAACTGTCCTAAACTTGTCTGTAGTGAAGAAAAATGAGAGTGGAAGTCAGGTTTACAAATATGTCTTCTGAAAACACATCTTCCACTGTTATCCCAGCAAGGGAAGCAGTAAAAATAAAATTATAATTTTCAGAAAACTAAGTTGATTCATGTGACTGAAAGCCCTCAAACCCTTCATGTGGCAAGGCAACCTTAGCTTATTAATCTAAAAAATATTACTGTGTTTTTGGTGATCCCATCCCCTGCAAAAGTACAATCCACTGACACTGTTTCAGTGGAAAATGAAACTTAAAATAAAACCCAAGTACGGGTACAAATGTGCCAACATATCACCTGTACTAAAGAAACACTGAGTGCTGCTGGAATTGGCCAATACCAGGACCATACAAATAGAACATAAAAGTCAGAGCCACTGAGAAGCATCGTACCTGAAAAATATGAATATTGCATAAACCGGATTAATTTGTCAGGTGAAAGGTAGACACAGAATATAGAACTGGTTTTGTTTATTTCCTTTAGTTAGATGACAAGTTATTATATTTTTTCCTAAAGGTTCCTTAATGGTGAGGAGTGTGAGTGAATGGTGAATTTGATCATATTCAGGATTTAAAGGTAAGGTTTCCAGAATTTTACTTTTTCCAGAAAGGAAACGGGAGGTATTGTACAACAGACAAAATTATTTCTGTGCTTGTCCCCATTGCAATTAGATTATTGCATTATTGTTTCATATAAATTACTCTTTCTAAAGCTCGGCTGCTTTCCCATTTTGTCAGATTTTTCTTTTCTTACCGTCATCTCATGCAGTGTTTTCGGTGGACACTATCATTCATCCCTCCAAAACCCAAATTTAAAGAAGACCAAGAAGGGAGTTTTAAACTCTGTTAAGCCCAACTCAGTGGATAGAGCAGAAGGCTATGAAAGTGTAGAGAGAGCTGATCTTTCACAGCAAAGAACAAAGACTTCTGCTGTGCCTGGCAGTGGCCTTCTTGCTTCTCTCTGAGCACCTGCAGACTGGGCAGGTTACAGTCTGGACCATGGTTTGGGAAAAGGAGCTTGAGATTGGGTGTAAACTTAACTGAAACTTCGAGAGCTACTGCAGTATATAAAATAAAAATATTTAGGGGAAAAAAGGTGGTAATAAAACCCACAACAAACCCAAAACAAAAACCAAGCAAACAAAAAAAAAAAAAACCACATCAAAACCAAAACAGGCTGTGGTCAGATTTTAGACCATCTAAAGTGGAATTACAAGCCCTCATGGCATTTCAGCCTAAGATGTCAAGGAGCCGATCACAAGACTATCTATTCAAAGCCACTAGACTTTGGTTCACCTGCAATCATCAAACATGCAAGAACTATAGCTACACTGTCAGCTGCGCACATATAGCGTAAAAGCCACACTCCTTTTCTCCATTAACTTCCCAGAAACTGAATCCACAACCCTGGAGAGCAGCTAATCTGAATTGTACATTCTTTGCTTGAGATTAAGTGCCATCCTCAGCCACCACATTAAGCAAATTAATGAAGACCAAGAACTAACCATTTCAGCACTGGGTTTGCAGGTCATATCTTCCTATCTTGTGGAAAAGGTTTCAACCTTATTCACCATATTGTTTGTTTGTCTGTAATTTATTTGCCAGATGCAGAGCAGTGTGTTTTATTCCAGGTGGATATACTAGAGACAGTCAAGATGAAGATTTAATAGTGTAAAATTCCTCCCATTTCCCAGTAGTAATGTAGCACCCAATGGTCACAACAATTAGGTGAAAAGCCAGAGATCAGTGGTGTATCTATCTCAAAAATCAATCAAAATTGACCTCGCTTTTGATCTAAATGATAAACAAAATATATTTTCTTATACGAGGACTGTTAAGCATCTCTGCTCTTCTTAGAATAGCTTTAACTTACTTTGAATAACAGGGCCAGGATCTCAGCAGCAGAACTTTCTTACATTCTTCTCTGTTGATTTGCTAGTGCTCTTGAGTGATAAAAATAATGATTTTTATAATATGTGGAGTTAGTGAAGTATGTTTGGAATTTGAAAGAGGCATTGAGCTCATGGTGTGCATCTCATTCCAGTTAGGCAGCCTTTTGCAAAGGAATGAAAGGCTCAAATGCAAAGTACAAATTATTCCTTGTCCTTCACAAGTGCCTGACAGCATTGATCCCTTTGAGACTGCAGCACATCATTAGTTTCTTTGCAACACCAGTCCTGGCTGTGCAGTTGGCACCAAGGTTATCTTGGTAAGTTGACATTAGCGGTGACATTAGCTAATGTCACTAGAATTCCAAAAGCGTAGAAAATAAGCTTCATTAAAACAAATTAAACCAAACCACATCAGGATTAAAGGGCATAAGGTCTTTGCTTTTACTGTTTCTTAGCCATCTGAACATTTCCGCATAGCAGAATTTCCCCACATGATGGGTCAGTGTGCTGCCTACATGGTCAGCAACTGAGTATTATTTTACACAGCAAAATGACAGAAGGAAAAGACAGGGAATATTGTGGTACACCAGAATACAATTCAGGAGATGTATGTAAAACTCCTCATTCTACCATAGATCAGCTTCTGTGATCCTGAGCAATTCCTTTCTGTTTTCAAAGCCTAACTTCACACCATTGCTCTAGTGTTTTCTGCTCCTTTCTCCTAGTCTTTGCATGTCTGGCTGAGCCAAATTGTAGCTGAATCTGAAACTGAACTTCAGCTTACTGTATTTTTTTCTCTGTCTTTTATAAAAGGCATCCCTTCCTCTAGGCGCTGCTGTAGTACAAATTATCATTAATAATAATACGTGCTTTGCAAAGAGTCTTAATTCCATAATTATATGGTTAATTATATCAAGAAAGCATACTCTAAATAGGTCTCATTGTGTTCTGGCTAGAAAAGCGTTTCTCAGACTTCAGAGCTTGCCTTTTCTGGCATAGGAGATGCTCAGGTAGGAACCATCCGTCACACACACCGCAAGCAAGATGTGGCACTGTCCCTGCACAACATCCAGATGCAAAGGGGAGCAAATAATTCCCGAAGTAAATAGAAAGTAAGAGGATTGCCATTATAATGATAATAGCCCATACTGCTTAAAAATTAAGCAGGAGATGGACAATTGTACATTGTCTGATAGCTGGAAATTAAGTGAAGTCACAGAGGATAAAAATGTACTTTGACTAGTTTCCCTTTTCCTACCAGACTCACACACACCCAGTTGTTCAGCAGCCAAGAGCTTGACATTAAGAAAGCTGGCAGTCCTTGAACTTTTTGTTTGCCAGCCAACAGGTCCATCTATCTATCTCACCAGCACTCAACATGGTTAATGGAGAGTTTGGTTTGATGTTTCCTACCATAGTGCAACTGCCCAGCTGTGCTGAGGAAGGTTTTACGCCTCTTCATCGTTCAGCAGCTGAAATGGATTAACTGGAAGAGAAATGAATGGCAACTTGTGTTAGTAAGGAACACTGGTCCTCAGCTAGTTCCCCCAAAGCCATACACTAGTTGAACAGTAAGGGAGAAAGGACCAGAGGATCCGCTCATACAAGAGTGTTGGAAGTGGAAGAACTGGCATGGATTTGGTCAGAATCAGTTATGGGTGTTTGCATTCATGCACCTACCTGTAAGGTCAAGAGCACCAAAAACCATGGTGAGGTTAAGAAAACTGAGCAGGAAATCAATTTTCACCCGCCAGTTAAGAAGCATAAAAATGCAGACGAAGAAAGATCACCAGCACCTCTGTTGTATTGTTCTCAGCAGAGAGGATACCAGGCATTGGTAGACCATAATACAGAAGCTGAAGAGTCTCCAATTTGAAGAGAGGGAACATTAACTGATGTCATTGGAATAAAACATAATTCTGTAAGCAAGTAGCTTTATGATAGGACAAAACAGTATAAAATCCAATAAAGAAGAATTCTTTCAGACTTTTTACTATTAGAAATAAACTTTTGACTACCCATTGTGAGACCTGTTGTCACAAGAAGACAGATGGTGTTGACACAGCATGTGATTACTGAGACAGATTTTCTTGGCCAAGACAAATATTTTAATTGAAGAGAAAATAAATATAATTTTCATTTCTTTTTAGAGCTGCAGTTGTTTGAAATCCACTGGGTAAAAACAACTATCTCATTACTTTTTTCTTTTTTTCCTGCTTCTTTATCAAAGAACTAGTGACAAAAACACATTCCAAATCTGAAAAATCCAACCAGCTCTCATGTTCCCTCATGTATCCTGTATTCCTGGATTGCGGCAGTTATGATAGTCAGATATGGCGTGAGAAGGGTGTGGAAAATGGAAACAGAACATACCCAAGCCCTGCCTTCAAGCATCAGGAGCTTCACCTGCGCTCAAATGGAAGATCTAGGAAACCTGGCAGAGGAAGGTAACGCATCTGGAGTGTTGTGACTGTCATGTAAAATGTGAAAAAATATATAACCCTGTTACAGAACTTGTGCATTTTAACAACCTACTTTATTAAATTCTATTGATTTCTGAAATTGCCTACGGACTTCTGTTAAATATATAGCAGTTTCTTCTTGTCTCTTTTCTTTTTCTTTTTATCCTTTATGGTTTCTATCCAAAGGAACATACAGCTCTTGAGAAAGATGTGGACCTGTAGCTCATATCCTTTTGGCTGTCTGCTCTGATGCTCAGAGAAAGTCTATCAGAGCATACTGAAAAAGAAACTTAGGGATAGTTTCTTCTTTCTCTGCCACAGACTCCCACAGATGCCCTTTGTCAAGTCACATAACAATAGGCATCAATTTATGGATTGGAAAGATCTGCAGTGCTATTGCAAGGCTGCAGATGCAGTTATGCTCTTACTGGCCTCTGAGGCTGTGCTAGGGAGCCATGTGTTCAGGTTGTCTCCACTGCAGGGATTCCTTCTGCTGCAGCATCCCGCCACGTCCCTTCTAGCAGCACCTGACAGGATTCCAGTTGGAGCTTGCACTTTCAGTCAAAGGCTTTCAAGTTTGATCCCTTCAAATCTCTGAAGTTCACCCGTACAATTACCTCCACTGTTCAAAGCAACCCAGGGCTTAGATGGAAATAAAGAACACGAAAAGATTTCCCAGGGTGCTCTTGGAAACGTGAAAAAAATGGGGAAAAGAAGAAAAGAAGGAAAAAAAGGGAAAAAAAAAAAAAGCAGCACTACTCCTTGAAGTTCTTGCAGCAGTGACTGTTCATCTGACATTAAAAGGCCAAATTCTGCTTAGGGTAGTTGTGGCCAGCCTGAGCTGCACTAATCTGCCATAGACATCAGTGCATGAGCCATGAGTCCTGATCAGTCCACATACACAGCAAGAGCAGCCTCCAGGATACCTGAGGATTTGGAAACTGAATTTGCCCTAAAAATCGCAGAGGATCATTGGTGGCAAGCAGACACCCCCTCTCAAAGTGTGTGTCACATTTTTAGCTGGAGACATTAGAATTCAAGTTCTGTCAGACTGAGGCTCCAACACAGTGATGGATTGATGTAAAAATACCTATTTATAGGACATACCATATATTAAACTGTATTGCTATGCAATAAGCAGCACCCTTTCCTTTAAATTGCTACCAATGAACCACAGATTTTAAATATTGCCTACACTTTATTCACTTCCTAGCTTCATCTGTCCTGTTTCCAGCTTTGACCTTACTTCCTGCATTGGTCTTTCTTCTCTTGCTAATTAGGGATATTTGTATTTCTTAGGGGGTCATCTGATCTTGCTGCTTATTTCCCACATGGATCAAAACTCTTAAAATAAAGGTTTCAGCTTTTAAAACATATTTTATGATATCTATATATATAACTAACCTCTTAGGATCATTTTTGACCTACATCTTTTATTCTATCATAATAGGCTTATCTTTACTTGATGCTTAAAATATTTTTTTCACTGGAGTGATTCCGTCATTTACACTTTCTTTCTCTTTCTGTCTGTTAAAAAAAACATTACAAGGAAAAGAAAAATCGTCTATTGGATACAGCCTGTTTGCACTGGGCACACATGTTTATGAATCAGATAAGGCCTTTGTGTGTCAGGTAGGTGGTGGCACTAAAAGCTTTATATATCACGACATCAAAGCACTGAGGAGATGAAAGAGCATATTTTTTGCATCATAAACAATATTTACATATTGTGATATTCCAAGAATCTTTCATTTAAACAGGTGGAAAAACAGGGAAGCAAGCACACATGTAAAGCAAAGTCTTACTTGTGGTTGATGATTAAATTTTATATGGCTTTGATATAACCACTGCAATTAAGTGCAGTGATGAGCAAGGACTTGTTTTGTTCTTTATAGGGTACATATTGTTTACTAATCCTTGGTTCAGATGATAAATCAATCATCATCTGGGCACAGCTGCAAATAAAATTTTAAAGGGACAATTTTCACCCTATGGAACAAATTTCAGACTTTTTCTCTCCCCTGTGTGCTCTCCATCTCTTCTTTCCTTCCTGCCTTGAAATATGGTATTCTTTAAAAAACTCAGCTTTTATATATTCAGACGTTCTGGATGGCGGTAGCTATTTTATATTACAAATTCTACCATTTGTCAAGTGCCAAATAACACATATGCAATGTAAACAGAGGCTGGAGATTCATTTACCATTTCAGACGAAGGGGGCTGTTAAAAACTGGAACATCCTCAATCACTGCAAATCAACACACTGCAATTTTCACTTTTCCTGATTTTGAGCATTCATCACCACTTGCTCTTCACCCTTGAAAAGAAGGGCAATAAGACAAATTACTTTAATTAGGAATTAGTTATGAGAGAATGAGGTGTTCTAATTATATCTAGAACCTCTTAAATAGTTTCACTAAGGCTTATTTGATTTCTTAATTACTGAAAGAGAAAAGCCGCACACAAATTGCACCAGTTTTTGAAAACAGAAATGCTGTCATTCATTTGATATTATGGATTACTCTACAGTGAACAGTGGTAAGGCAATAACACCTCCAAGACAGCACATGCATTAGCACAGGATGAATTTTTTTTTTTGCTGAAACATTAGAGAATCACCTTCGTCCATATCTCAAAATACATAATTTTATACACTATGGTGTGAAAACATAGATGTGACAGGCTGTAATGATTTATTTATGAGACATTATTCTTTGATGCAAGAATACATTAGGTTATAGATCCTGTTTCCACAAATATAATATGTTATGCTCTGCATCTGAGCTCCAGTAAGATACTGTAAGATGTGAGGTTCACTTTATGTATGTATAAAACTGTGTATAAATATATGTTTTATGACTGTATTAGTGGCCTAAGTTGCACAAGAGTTTCTCTTTTAACAGATCCTTCAAAACATATTTTTCTCAAGATCATCTGAAAATATGGTGATACGGTCTAGAAGAATGTGTCAGGGACAGTATTTGATTATGAATGGTTTGAATATTGTTCTTTGCTACGGACCTTGGATGTATCTAGTTTATCCATTTCAGGAATTTTTAGATTGTTTTGAAAATAACTATTGTGATTACCAGCAATGTTTTTTTAGCTATACCCTGCCTGACCAACCACATCTGGGTCACAGAGGGCAGCTCTAATTTTAAACCTCTCTAAAAATTACTTTTTTTTTTTTTTTAAATTTCTCCATTCTCTTGCTGAGAGTCCCCAAAATTCTCACTGTTGGTTGGACTCTTTTCCCAGCAAAGCCACTGGGCAGCATTTACCACATCTGCAAGCCCACTCAGGTCAGATCAGGACTCAATGGCCAGTATCTTTATATCAGGAGTAAGGAGAGACTGCAAGGTCCTAACATGTCATCTCTTATGGAATATTCCTGTTTGAGCAGTGGCAAATGGAAAGGCTCATCACAAAGTGATCCATGCAAGGGAAGGAAAATGGGCTAGGAAAAGGTCAGGCACATACCATGCATCTTACAGAAAGTTTTAACATCTTTTGGAAACTTATTTTGAATTTGTGATGAATTCAGAATTCAGGATGAGGTACACATTTACTCAAAAGATCTCTAATTAGTTTGCTTTCTTTTTATGTGTGTGTAGTGATTCAGGGTCTTGTGATAGAGCAGCCTGATTCAAGGGACGTCAGGATCAACTACTTCCTCTCTTTATCACCATTTGTCATGATAAGCAGTATGTGCAACTGGAGGCATGTTTATTTTCAAGCCTAACCTAAAACACTATTTATTCTTTTAACATGTCTAAGGTGTAGTAATTGCAGTCATTTATTCCCAATAGGCTAAGTATGTGTGACAAATATTTAGGCTTTAGAAAAAACAGATATGTGTAATAATAGAGGTAGAAAGCTTCAGGTTTCCTCGTTCACTGGAGCTGCTTATGTAGTTCAAAAAAAGCCCAGTGAAAATAAAATGTCCACTTGCACAGGAGAAAGCACTGCAAGGTGGCACTGTCAGGAGAGGATGAGAAACTTGCAGCATCAGCTCTGACATGGGAACTGTCCCATAATTAAAAATCTGGAGTTTATAAACAAGAGCCAGAGCGGCTGAATGAGGCAGACGTGTCAAGGGTGGTTCACGTGTGTGTGCTGGTGAGAGTAAAAAGCCAAGTATAGATTGCGTTATTTGACTCTTGTGTTTGGAAAAAATCTTTAAAACAGATTTATTTTATTTTTTTTTGGCAGTAGAATTATGGTTTATTTTTTTGCTTTGATATTTTATTTACATGATTTTTAATTTTTCCTTCAGAACAGCTTGATTTTAAATGTAACAAATTCCATAGGAAAAATATCAGAAATAAAAACTGCACTGAAATATGCCATAGTTGTCAAATCAAAACATTTTATTTATTCATTGTTGACTCATAAACTTGTAACACTTTCTGTTTGCATTACAGTTCAGACAGGAACATTTTCAAAATGCAAACTATTTTCCAGATAGAGGAAAATTAATTCATCTCAAAGCTTTAAAAGCCTAAGGGTGAACAAAAACCAATTTATTGTCGCTATTAAAATCTTCCTATGAAAAACATCTATCTAGGCATCTTCTAGAAGTGTGTACTCTGACTTCAAACCCCTTAGAGTTTATACTATCCATTAACTTAGTTTTAGGGTCGCAGTCTCTCTACTGCTGTTTACCTAAAGACCTTGTGCTTTATCTGTCTACTTTCTCAATACATCAATCAATCAGGCTAATAAAATCTATTTCTTCCTCCTAAATATATCTTGCCCTCTTCATATCTTTAAACCCTCATGACTTCATTAATGCCTCTATATTAAACATTATGAACCTTCATGGTGCAGTATAAATTAAAAGTAATTGGAATAATTCATCAGAAACCTTTTTCTAGGCATCATTTGGGGCTCCTGAGGAAATTTCAAAGTCTTCCCTTGAAGCCCTTCCATTGTTTCAAGGGCTATTTCTTATTCATTAGAATATCTAAATGTACACACAAATATAATGTGCTCCTCTACAACAGGGTCATCCAAACTGTCAACATCTGTTGTATACTTCGGAAAGTATGTATTGAAAAGTATAAAACATAAACATGGGATACAGAAAATGAAAACCAAAACCAACTGCATGACACCATGCACCATTTGATACTCCAGGTCCCTCACACTTTGAAGGAAATGAAGTGGGGCTTTGGGAAAAAGAGGCCATAAAGGACCACCAATGCATCTTAGGGTGAATTGAAGGGTGGGAAGAGTAGGCTCAGAGGTAGAAGCTGGATTTTGGAAAGAGCCGAAGGTGGGTGTGGGGGCTGTGTTTGGTTTTAGGAGCATCTGAGAGGCTGGAAACAGGCACTGGGACACATGGAGGTTTTGCAC